AATGTGTGTGTGAAATATTTGAAATCAGACTTAATTCCACTGTGGTTCCTCTACAATTCTTGGTCACGTCAAATGCTAGTTATGGATTTTTAGTTCTGCATTTAGGATTAAATTCCCTGGACTTAAATATTCCCTGTTAACTTATTTTGTTCTGTCTGGAATCAATATGGGGGGTTTTGTTTTCAGAACAAACCAAATGTCTAGGTAAGTGTTTAAGTCCTTGGGTGTTGTACACTGTTCATCCGAGATAATATTTTTGTGATAAGTTTTTAATTATCTGTCTTACCTTGATCAGTTAATCCAAAGAAGCAAATATGATGCATGTGGCATGGAGGAAATGAAGGAAAACAGGGAAATTATTATTTGTGCCATGTGAATAAACCTTTTCTCTGTTGACTTTTGGTATCTTAATAGGTCTATTAGCTTGCTCTGTTTGGTCTTCAAAAAGAGTAATTTAATTATCTTACAGATCTTGTACAACAAACCCATTTATAAACGAAAAAAAGGCCAAAGAAACAGAGAGGAAAAATCCCAAACCTCCAAGAAGCAGGGAGATTCTCAGTATCTCTTAGAAAGATAAAAAATAAATTTGAAATTACATTGTTCCATAGCCTTTCTGCACACAGTGGTATTTTTGTTAAGATTTTGAGGAATTTTCTTATCTGCTTCACTGCACTTGAAACAGTCTTTGGGCTGGTATTGGTATTTTTCTCTTATGTAATTTCTAAATAAATTATCCCAATGTTGAGAAGTTTTGAACCTCTATCAGATTCTGGTTAAATCAGATAATTTGTGACTGCTTAAAATACGGGTGGGTTTTTTGCCTGGTTCATTCATGTAAATGGATTTTTAGTCTTTATATACTTTTCACCCACTGACTTCATGTATTCTATTTTCTGGAAAAGAAACCCCGACAAATTGTTTTAGAACCTGCCTAGTTTGAAAAAGATGCCTGTCAGAATAAAACCTGAATGTAATTCTGCTACTGTTTACAAAAGTTGAAAAATACAGGAAAACTGGGGAAAAATCACAGAAAGGCCTGCAGAGCAGTGGTGTGTAAATCCACCGTCCTTCTGAAAATCTAGCCTCGATTCAGTTAGTTGCTTGCTGTCAAAAGGTGACAGAATGGAAGATAGTGGTGCATAATGAAAAAAAAATTCTGATTTAAAGAATTTGATAGCAGCTTGATAGGAGTTAGTGTAGTTGTAGAAATTGCAAGCACTTGCACACTGGAAACCTGATCTTGCTTCTTTTTACATTGTGCACTGTACAGCTGTACCTGGTGAAATGTATTGCTTCCACTTACAAACCTTGTCCTGCCAAATACCTGAAAACTGTATAGGAGAGAGAGAGAAAGGGCTGTAAGTATGGGGTGAAATTAGGGGACAAAATAGATTGAATTTATAGACCAAATTATTAAGCTGCTAATTAACTTGCAGTTGATAGAAATATTTTTATGGTGCATTTAGTGTTAGAATTGGTATTACTAGGTCAGCTAAAGAAGGAATCAATTGTGAACTATAGGAAAGCAGATTAAATGGGTTAGTTGATCTCTCCCTTTTGCAGACGATGTGATTCTATTAAAGAAATTACTTTTGTGACTTAACTTGGCAAGGAAAACTCAGTATGCATTTAAGTTGGTCCCCAGCGCAGGCTCAAGTTCTTCCCTTTAGAAAGTGTGTTGTTTAATGGGTAACTTTTAAAGGGAGAGAAGGAATCTCTGAATACAGGGTGTTTCTGAGATGTTCTGGGCTACTTCAGCTGTCTCACATACCTGCGATTTCTTGGCTATATCCTAGGGCTGTGGTAGAATTCATTGCTGGCTACAAAGTACTTTGGAAGTCACAGGACCAAAGGAAGGGAAGTGACCTGTATGTCCTGTATTTCAGCTCCTCTGCCCCAGGGAAGGATCAGTTATAACTTAGTTGTTCCTGGTAGAGGTTCAGAATCAGTCTGCATGGTGCCAGGTTATCCTCAGGCTATCTGTTCCTGTGCTTTGTTTGCCTTTCCACAAAGTAGTTTTTCCTGCTAGCTAATTTGGATCACCTTTGATTAAATTTAAATCCACTATTACTAGTGTTTTCACTATAGACATGGAGAAAAAATTGCTGTGAAGAGAAAACAGCTCTTTGTATGTATTTATGTAAACTGTTTGAAAGGTTCATTATTGCCCCTTACATTTTCCATTTCCTAAACTAAGCAGCTTCTATTTGTTCAATCTTTCCTAGTAGATTTCAGTGTGTAGATTATGCCTTTAATCATATGTCATCTTCTCTAAAGATTCATCTGTAGCCTTCATCTTTCACAATGTAAGAAAACTGAGACCTTAATTAAAAACAATTATTGGATAATCTGATTTGCTACTGAAAATTCCCATATCAGAATTTTGTCATCTTGTAGCTAATAAGTAGTGATGAATTTTACACATTAGTGTAAAATGTTATATTGTTACTTTTTGGTTAGTTTTATGTTCTTAACTAGGTAAGTTAAACCTTCTTGTGCTACATCTAGAACTCATTTACTGTGAAGATTAAGGGGTGTGGAATTACTTCACATTGCCTTCAGTCATTTAAAGGATCATTTTATCTGAAACAGTTCTTACTGTAATGAAGTTTGACAGCCAGAAAGTTCTCCCTGCGATAGGTCAGCACTTGTCACTATTATATCAGTTTCTATTTCTGCATAATGAAATGTTTCTTATGTTAGTGAGGACTTGAAGTTGCTTGCAGTCGATTAGATTTTAGTTTGTTGCATTAATGTCTTTGCCTTTTTAAAAATGGGGAGCTGAACCATCACAGAAATGATTCAGAAATAGTACAGACAGATTAAACCTGACCTGTGTGGTCTATTAGTTTTATAATAAGTACATTTTACTGCAAACTGGAGTCAGACTAGAAGAGTGTCTCTGTGTAAACATTATCTTTTTATATCTGTGGTAGAGTTACTTTGATGTGTAGAGTAAATATGAACAGTGAATTTTCACTTAAAAATTGCAGACTAGAGGATAGCTTGTTTAGTCAGTCAAATTGTGAGCCAGTGGTGTTCTGTTATTAGATATGAAAACAAATGTGACAGCCAGAAACCAAGACCTTGTTCCATGTTATTAATAATTTTGACATTATGCAGTATTAGGTTGTACAGGCTGTTGGATTTAAAGGCTGACGCCAAATGAAGTTCCCACAGAAAAAAAGACATACTGCTCCTATTTTCAAATAACACTGGAGAAATGAGTAGCATATCACACTAATGTAGATGCTTTTTATTATTGACAAGTTATAATTAAATGCAGTTTTTTTCTGTGGTTGTTGATGAAATTGTGAGAGCAATCTCAGAGGGGGGAAATGTTTCAGATTATGTAGACCACAACTGACTATTACACAGCAGCACCACAAGCCCTGTGCTGGTTTGGCTTTTCATATTGTAATGGTGTATTCAACTCATGTTTGCAAACCACATTCTGCCAAAGCCTGCTATATTTATAGCTAGCTGATCAGTAATGTATGCTCACTAGCATAGGTGATTTGCAGTTCAGTTAATGACCGTGTGTGTCATCTGTGACTAGAGGCAAGGCATGTAGATCTTAATCTTTTGCTTTTATACAAGAATGTTTGAGGCAAAATTATTAGTGGAAGTTACATGTTTAGGAGGTCACCCTTTGAAGGGGGGGCAGGAAATGACAGACAAGCCTGTCTTTCCAAAGCTGATTTTGAGGTAGCTACACAGTTGAATAGGACTAGAGAGGTATGGTAAGCATTTGTTTGTGGACAGTGTGTTTTTTGTCTCCTAACTGAATTGATATGCATGTGTGCCTTTTGGTACAAAGGTTACTGAGAATATAAGTTAGCTATTAAAGGATGCTCATATTAATATGCAGAACATGCTTTCAAAACTGTGCGAATCAGAGACTGGAAGCTTGCTTCAAAGACGTGTGGTTCAGCCAGCTGGACAAGGGAAGCAACAGAAAAACTATGTGTTTAATGAAACTAGATCTAGCTTCTGTCCCACAAAGCTGAGCTCTTTGCCCAGCACGAAACACAGAGAAATCTTGATTATATCAAAGTGCGGGAATGGGTAAAGCTTCGGGCACAAGTCCACAGGGAGAGATGGGGATAGGTGGTTGTAACTTCTAGTCAGTGCTGATACTTTGCCATAGTCACCATTCAGCAGCACAGGAAGAGTAAAACCCAAAGAGAGGGGGTGTTTTCTCTTTGAGGAAGCTAGGAACGATTAGGTAGGGAAGGAACTGTTACTAAAAGGAGAGTTAACTCCTCAAGCTGTCGACAAAATTCTTAAATATCCTGACTTGTGTTTGGCAAAGTGGCATTGTACACTTGAAACGAAAAGTTTCTCCTGTCTTTTATTGGATTTGATGGGAATTTCTGTGAATGTAGGATTGAGTGAGTCATCTTCAATAGCTCTTTTCCTTGAAGCATTAATATGGGGGTTGGGGGAAAAGTAGTAATATAGGAGTTAAATATTCTGGTATTTTGGGCTGGTTGGAAATCTGCCTGTCCTCCTATGTTATTGTTTTCCTAAAAAGTTCCACATTAGATGGGAGTTCCTGAACTATTATTGCAACCACTAGCAATCTCCACTGTTGAGGCAGCAGCATGGAAGAGAGCAGGCAGTGCCAGCTGACCCAATTTCATCACCAAAAATGACCTCTCTTCCTGACTTTGCTAATATTTGCTATAAATTTTCAGTCTCTATGTTTCCATTATGCATTGCCTTGTGTTTTCCATTGCTGAGAACTAAAGTAAATCTAATCTTATCCAGGTAGTCCAAAAAATACTTTTGGTCTGAATGGTCAGTATCTGTAGGAGTCCTCCTATACTGGCAAAAGAGGCAGCCATCTGACAGGGAGTGAATAAAACAAGTTACTTCCTGTGTCACTCCATTTCACTTGTGGCTGCAGACTGAATGGCTTGAAAAGGGTATTGGGGCTCTCCTGGCATTACAGTGTGATTTGTTGTTCCTAAGTCAATCTGTTGTGTCTACAGGTTCCCCAGAGGATAGAAGAGCAAGGAGATGCATCTGAGGATAGCAGTGCAGGAATCCCAGGCATGTGGGGCAGTTGGGGCCCCTGGTCTGCCTGCTCTCGGAGCTGCAGTGGCGGAGTGATGGAGCAGACACGGCCCTGCCTCCCAGCCTATTACCAGGAAAGGAGCTACCGACGGCCCGGGCGGCAGTTCCCAGCCTCGGAGAGGACTCTTGCTCACCAGAATTCCCGCCACCGAGAGGACTCGCTGACTGCTTATCCTGGCCACATCATTTCTGCCATCCGTACATCTGTACCACTTCACAGGAATGAAGAGCAGCTTTGGGCTGGCCTTCGGGCCTCTACTTCTTCTGGAGGCCAAAATAACAGCCACCTGAGCAGAGGAGCTTTGAGAGGCAGCAGGCATTCCCAGTCCCAGAGGCAGAATGCTAAGGCAGAAAAGAGGTATGTGTCTACATTCACGTTTTATTCTTGCTGTGAGTGGTGTATCTGAAGAATTGGATACCAATCTATCAGGTGTTTTTTTAAAATATATATATATATATATATATACATATATATATATGTAAGGGAAATAGACGTGTTCCCAGTTAGGAAACTGAGGAGAACAGGCCTAGAAATACTGTGGGAGGATCTGTCTTTCCTTGGAGTATGTGTGCCAGCAGGTGGGAGTTCTCTGCTTCTTTCTCTCTCAGCCCTCTTCTGGAAGATGCATGAAGAGTTGTGTTTTTTTTTTTTTGAGATTGGTTAAGAAAGAAACTGAAAACAAACCAAGCAAAAAAAGAACCCAAAAAGCAAACCAAAACAAATGTTCTTTCAAATCATCTGCTTCTTAGGTGAAGCAATCAACTGTAATCCCCTTTTTAAAGACATCTTGCTGACCCAAACAACAAAAAATGTTACCTTGAGGCAATACTCCAGCCTGACTAAAACAAGACAGTAGGACTCTGTTGCTGGTCATAAAGACATCCTCAGCCCCTGCAAGCAACTGTCCTCCTCTAAAAGAATATATGAGAATAAAAATTAACCTGTTAGCTTCCTGTTTGTCTCAGTGAAGCATACTTTTCAAAAAGCGGGACCTGCTGTTCAGATCTTGATCTTCCGAGGTGTTGGCCATTTCCTTTAATCACTGCTTTGTCTTGTTGTCTAACCCATGCAAATGAATAGCCTAAGTCTATTGACTATAACTTCAATATTGCACTGATGCTTTTATAAAAAATGAAAGGTTTCCACTGGCAGGCTCTTAGTAGTAGTATTACCATGACTGCTCTGAGACAAAAGTTGTATTTTCTTTTTTCTGTTTTCCTGTTTAGTCATCCACTATAATGCACTTCTGTTCTGAGCTGTGCAGCGTAACAGATACAGGTTGTAGTACACAGTTGGATTTTTACTAATATTGGAAGCTTGGCCTTGAACTGTCAGCACAAAGTTGTTCAAAGCCTGTTTGCTCCAGGCCCTTGGAACCCTCAGCCTCCAAGGGAATCCCAGCTGGCCTGGCCTCTGCGGCAGACCTGCTGCCAGGCTGCTGGCACAGCTGGTCTTCACTCCTTGCTGCTGTGGTGGCCTCTGCAGGTCAGGAGAGACTGGAGCAGTTTGAACCAACCACTGCCGGGACATGAGAGGACAACAAAACAGAAAGTAGCATTGACTGTGTGCAGAAGTAAAGCTATGTTATTTCCTAATAAATGTCTTGCCATATAAAAGACTAAAATATCATAATGTCCATTATGTCTCTGCTTTCCTGTATGATGGAGGCATTTGCTTTTGAAAATTCTTGTGCTTTCCTGAGCACAGTGCAAGCTTCTGCACTGCAGTTGATTTCCCACCCACACACACACTGCCCCTTGACTACAGATTGTGGATTCGAGGTCAGTGTTTTAATCTTATTTGCGTAATAAGTAATTTCCATCTTGAGCTAGAAGGTCCCTGGTGGCTTTAAAGCCTGTTATATTGCATAACTTTCAGATTCTTTGGTGGTGACTGTAAAAACAGAATGAGAACAAAAAATGTTATTTGAAAATGAAATTATTAGAATGACAAACCTAATAGTTTTCCTTAATTGACAAAATCCACAGTACAAAACAAAGATTACTGGTCCTATCAGATATATGGAAAATTGTTTTCAAAATATAAATTACTCCAGAGATTATTTTTATAATGTAGAACAGTGTTCAATATTCACTAAATAGGTCATATTGGAAATTGGTGTCAGGCTATTAAAAAAAATGTGTTTTTCACAATATATACAGTCAGTGGAAACTTTTTTGGGTATTCTTATTTACTGTACTGGACTTTATATAATAGCTGTCATTTTAGCAGTCTTTCTTAAAATAATAAGAGGAATGGACATTTGTGACTGAGATAAGCTCACATTTGATAGCATGGTAATATGAAATTGGATGGCTTCCAAAGCAAATATGTTTTGAAAGCAGTCCTTGAGAGCAGCCAGATATGTTTGTATCATTTAGTGACCAGTGGAAAAGTTCTCTGCCTCCTCCCAGTCAGCTGTCAAAGAACTGTTCAGTTTCTTTAGCAAAAATAAAAATGTAATTTATATTTAATAAGTTTTAACATACTTTGTGAAGAGGCTATTTAATTCATAAGCATTTTCAGCTTTTGAAAATTAGCTCATGTGATTCAGTTAGACTTTAGAAACAAGGGCTGTACATGAAGCTCAGGGAGAGAGCAATGTGAGGTACCTGCAGTTAGACACCTAAGTTTAAGTGCTTCCCTTTTTATCATAGTGGAGTTCTTGCATACTTGGAATATGCTAGGAAATTGTAGTCTGCGACTGGAATGAGGATGGAAACACAAAAGAAAGGTGGTGGTTCTCTAGGTTGTTGGCTGACAAAGGGAAGGGAGCTCTTCTCAGCTTTGAAGAGTTCCCATTAGCACAGTCTTGCTTGTTATTTCACCTAGATAAAATACATGGAGCATACCATACAATAGAGACAAACAGGAATGAGGAGATATGGAAGAAATATCAAAGGACTTAGACATATTTATAGAGAGGCACATATGGAAAAGTAATAAGGGCATGCAGAAGGATAACGTGCTTTGAGAGAGAAAACATCTTGAGAGGAAATCTCATTCATGGACAAGATTTTCATTTTTCTTAAATGTTGCATTGCTGGTTCTCTATTTTGGTGATAGAGAAGACAGAACTGCATTTTTATATACATATGCTGAGCATTAGGATGCTTACAACTGCTACCTTTGCTTTCTCTACAACTGAAATTTAATGGTGGAGAGGTGAAAGTTCTGCGGCCACATCTGTAAGCAGTACATATATTTTGGATGTGGTTCCTAAGAGCAGAAAGAAAAAATTACATTGATCACCAGATTAATGAAATGAATAAAGAAGGCTTGCATAGGTAGTTAAGGCTTAAAGAAATATATTAATAAGGAATGGGCTTCCCTAAAACTCTTTTTGTACTTGGAAAAGGAATGAGAGCAAAGGTTTGTTCTGAGGAAATAATCCAAAAATCATCAACTTCTCACATGGCTGCAGCTCTGTGGTCTTTATTCTGCTGCCAGCCGTTGATCTGAGAGCCTGCTCTGCTGCTTTGTACCCTGTATAGGGACAGCTTGCATTCTAGGCCTGTGAGCAATGGAAAGGAAAAAGTGTATCATTTAATATTGAAACAGAATTTCCTTTCTGAAAGTACTTGGTTTGCCCCCTGTCACAGATGCTTTGACCAGGCAAATGTAGGTCACTCAGTTGGCAGGGCTACAGTTAACCTTTAAAGGGACAATTCAGTTGTTTTTTTCTTAACCAATTTAAGCATCATTATTTGTGTGTTCTGATGCAATTTTTGTGACCTGTTCTATTCAGTTCCAGTTTGTAGAGATGGACAAATGTGTGAGTGCTGAACCTTCAGGTTCAAGAAGGTATTATTTTCTCAAGTTCTGAGGATTTGTATTTATTGGCATGGGTGTTTGTTTTTCTTAATATTTTGAATGAAACCCAGCTCAAGTACTTAGCCCCCCCCCCCTTCGTTATTTCCCTAATAGAATGAAAAAGAGGTGTATTTTATCCCACACCCAAAATGATTATAAAGGATTATTGAGGGTTGGTGTGTGTATGTGGGTGCAGGAGGAAGACAGAGGGAGCAGGATTCAATCCTTTTCTGCTGATCAATTTTGTGGAAAAATCTAAGAGCATTTTGGTAACACTTAGGAGATTTAAAGCCATATGAGAAAAATGTTTATTTTCCTTCTGAATAAAATTCCAAGGGGATTCAAATAGCAATAAAGATCACATGAGGTATTTCCTGGCAAAACTAATAGCTAGTTGGGCCTCAGGTTGACTTTGTGCTGTACTGCCTCTCATCTGATTATTAATCCCCCTGATATGCTCAGGTCTCATTAGTACTTAATTGGTATAAATTTTTAGTATTCTACTGTGAGCATGCTTTGAATGGTATTACCAAAAATAAAACCCAAAACCCAAACATGATACTGTAATTGCAACTCTTCCTGAAGTGGGTTGACTAGGGGAGGGGATGTAGGAATGCTGCTAGAATTTAGTCAGATTTCAGACAGTGAATTTTACCAATGACTTACTGACTTAGTGAGGGGTAGGAATACCACAAAGCTCCTGTCACAGTTGTAATGCATCTCAACAGAGTTATGTGGTTACTTGCATAGAAATTCTGCTGTTCTACCTGCCAACTGCATGGTTACATTATTTAGTCAAATTTGAAAGATGAAGCAAAGGTGAAAAACTTGTAGACTTGTAAATAATTTCATATGATCAAAGGCATTATTCATCTTGTAGAAAAAGAAAACTGTAGTATTTGGGTTAAAATTCTGGAATCCCATCTCAGTGTTGAAAATTACATACATGAGGTTATATAGCACCTGCTGGGAGATCAGCAAAAGCCAAGTTTGTTTTAAGTTATTATACTGGTGTATTGTAACTGTGCCAGACTGAGGTATTAGTGGTGATCTCTGAGGATGGAAAATTTCATTTATGATAGTCCACATCTATCTTTAAACTTGTTCCCAAGAGGTAATTTACTTAGTGACCTTATTCATTAATTCTACTGTCAGGAAAATGTAAATATTTTTACCCCAATATAATAAAGAAATGACAGAACAGTTCACCCTTGTGGTATAATCTGTTTTCCTGCAGAAGATGTACTTTTTAGGTATAGTTGGTTACTCTGTGTCTTTTAGCAGTTGAAATTTTTAGGTGAAATGTGCTCACAATAGACTTAATACTCATTTGTATGTATAATACATGGGGAGGAGTGAGTATCTGCAAATCATGGTACAGTTGCTGAAGTTAACAGAAATGTAAACCAAACTAGCTAGTTCCATTGTTTTAGTTACCTTGATAGTGAAAATCAATACCATGAAGTGAATGCCTGCACTGATTTAATTGCAGTGAAATGTGCTGATGAAATGTGAATAATATGCTACAGTGTGGCAAAGGAAGT